CAGGTATCATGATAATACTTCCAAACGATTCTTCTTTCATCCTCAGACTCCTCCTTGAGCTGATATGTTATTTATCCCACTGCATACATGGGAGACTAAGGCCTGGAGTGTTTACATTACTCACTTGCTGAGAGCCTGGATCACAACAAGGTCAGGATGAAGGGAGGCCCTGGAACATGAATCTCCTTCTCTTGGTTTCCTTCTCCTTGGCTGGGGAAACCTTGCCATCCCTGCCCCTTTGTGTGTCTTGGAGTCCTGTCATGCAATCCTAGATCTAAGTCATCCTCAGGCTATGCTGGGTCCTCAGACTGGCAGGGGTCTAGGTCAGCCCTTGGAATCTCTGAGCCCATACACGGCGCTGTCTTTTCAAGTCCTAAATTCACTATCCAGACACTGATAGAGCTCAACAAGCTAAAATACTCATCAGAACCAAAGGGTTATTGCCAATATTCACTCTGAAGTTCCAAACAGTGCACACAAATGCAGGATCACAGCCTTCCTGGGTATCTTTTGAGACTTCTTTCCCCAAATCTTCCCATTCCTATTTGTTCCACACAAGTCATGCCCAAGGCCCACCCATCTGGCTGCCATCCTTCCTTCCTCTATACCCTGTACTCTAGTTGTTCATGCCAGTTGCCTCCCATCCTCTCACTGCCCTGATGCATCACAATAAATATGCAACTATTCTTTATACCTGGGGCTTTCCAGGTGGTGCTAGTGGTGAAGAACCATCTGGCAATGCGGGAGATGCAAGAGATGTAGGCTCAATCCTTGGGTCAGGAAGATCTCCTGGAGAAGAGCATGGCCACCCTCTCCAGTATTCCTGCCTGGATAATCCCATGGACAGAGGAACCTGGTGGCCTATGGTCCATAGGGTCGCAAATAGTCAGACACTACTGAAGTGACTCAGCACACATGCACACACATTCCTTATTTCAGTGCTACTCGAGGTGCGGCCAACACCCCAGTGCCAGGCCACAGGTTGTTACCAGTCCATGATGAGATTCAGAGTAAATGCTTAGACAGGGAACTCTGCTCAATGTTATGTGGCAGCCTGCATGGGAGAGGAGTTTGGAGGAGAATGGATACATGTGTATGCATGGCTAAGCCACTCTGCTGAGCACCTGGAACCATCACATTGTTAATTAGCTATGTTCCAGTATAAAAGAAAAAGTTAAAAAAAAGAGAGAGCGAGAGAAAAGAGCAAGTGCTTAGGAACATAACAATTTGACAGAATAATTATAGGTCATTTGAACCTAATCATAAAAACTATGCTAAATACACTGTGATATCCTGAATTGGATCCTGAAACAGAAAAAGTACACTAGCCAGAAAACTGCTGAACTCCAAAGAGAGTCCATAGTTTAGTTACGGTGCAATGTGAATTTGTTAGTTTTCACATATATGCTTCAGTTATCTAAGATGTTAGCATTGGGGAAACTGAGTGAGGACTATACAGCAAGTCACTCTATTCTCCTTGCAACTTTTCTATAGATCTACAATTATTCCAAAATAAAATGTCTTTTTTTTAATGCGGGCTTATATTTTATATGATTTTTTTTTCTTTTCCAGCTTTTTTATTCCATAACATCTTAACAAAAGATTCCCCAAAGCTAAAATAAAACTTTGAAAAATATACAGTTTCATATTATTTACATGACATATGAGTACGGATTCCAATATCACCCAGGCATTATGTCAGAAATACAGTGGGAAAGCATAATGTAACTCACTTTGTATGACTTTTTTCTATTTCATTTTTCTAGCAATATAATTGTACTTTACAAAAATGTCAGTCTGTAATGGATTCAAAAGGGAAATTTAAAGAATGAAAGTGGTCTTCTGTCATAGATAGTTGGTGAAGCAGCGCTTCAGACATTCTGTATCCTCCTCAGCAGTTGTCACCATGATAGTTACAGATGCTAATCATGAATTCTTGGTGATGACAGCCAGACTCACAGGTGCAGCTTTTGAAACCAGTTTCTGCACTCTCTGAGTAAAGTCACAGCCCAGGGCCCTGTCATCACTCAACTCCAGGCACATTTCAGAGTTTGGTCATGTACCCCATATGTCACAGCTCAGCTGTCACATGGCAGATACTACCACACCTCAGGGCCAAGCACGGGCTGTGACAGGACCTGGGAAGTGCCAGTGTATAAAGACTGATGGCTCAGGCCCCAGGTTGTTCTATGCCTGAAGGGTGGCAGGGCCCTGGGATGTGCCTTTATCTGTGAGATGGCAGAGCCCTGCTCTGTGACTGTATCTGGGGTGTGACAAGGCCCTGGAGTGTGACACAGTCCTGGAAGGTGACCTGGCCCTGTGAGGTATGGTATCAATGAGTTCTGGGCTCTGACAAGTTCTGACCATGACAAGGTGCAGGCTCTATTTCTGTCTGGGTTTCACAGGACACCAAATGCCCTAGGAAACAACCTCTCTAGTGTTCAGGTTGGATCTTAGTGTGCCTTGGATCTGCGGCCAGGACGGCTGAACCAATCTAGAAGGGGACGTGTGCAGCCAGATTTGGAGTAGAGTTTGTTCTGAGCTCCGGAGCTGTTGGTCAAACCTGTCCTGGCTCCTGTATGAAACAGACCCAGAACTCCTAACCCACAGCACAGAATCTCGGCTTCCAGGGAATATGCCTTGGGCCATCACCCCAGGGAGGCTGGCCATTCACCTGACTCCCCGCCTCCTCTGCTCACCACCCCCCCCACAGCTCCTCAAGCTGGTGGAGGAGGCTGCACCTGAGCCCGTCTCCCCTGAGCTTCTCCCCCCTGACCACCCCCACCCCTGCCCGCAAGGAATGCCTGCGCAAGGCCCCCACAAGGCTGAGTTCAGGCCACACGTGAGGCCGCAGTGCCATCTGCTGGCTGTTGCAAGCCATGATGGTCAGGCCAGGAACATGCTGGACAGATAGGGGCATCTGGAAGCCTCCCCCATGCACCTCAGCTCAGGATTAATAGAGTGGCCTCCCCCTTAAGCCCCCAGTGACCAGGACCCCTCACTCAGGCTTTAGTCATCAGAGGCTCCCTGCCCAGGTCCTTTAGCGGCCATAGCACCAGTACAAATCCTCAGAGATCAGGCCCCTCACTCAGCCCCCAATCCTGCCCCCCTGCAGTGACCAGGGCCTCCTTCTCAAGCCCCATAATCACCGGAAACCTTCACTTGGGCCTCAATGGTCAGAACCCTTCACTCAAGCCCCATAGTTACTAAAGCCTCCCTCTCAGTCCACTTAATGACCAGGACCTACAGCTTATGACTCCCAGAGGCCAGGGACCCCCTGTCAAGCCCCAGTGACCAGGGCCTGTCAGTGACCTTGAGTCCCCTCATTCAGGGCCCTCTGCCCCTCAGTAACTAGAGACACTTACTCAGAGCCCAGGGGGCATATACACTATTACTACATCGCTTCAGCTGTGTCTTAATCTGAGTGACTCTATGGACTGTAGCCTACCAGGCTCCTCTGTCCATGGGATTCTCCAGGCAAGAATACTGGAGTGGGTTGCCATGCCCCCCCCAGGGGAATCTTCCAATGGGGATATAGAGTGGTATTGGGGGGCTCTTGGCACCCCAAGAGCCTAACATGTCCCATCTGGTTCCCTCATCTACCTTCTGCCTCCCACTAGTCTCCAGAGAGGCTGAGACAGAGGCCTCCGGTCACCAGGGCTTTCCATCTTGTTCTGCCTGTGCTTCTGGGTCCCTACATCAGACAAGGCCATGGCCATGCCCAGGTCTCATGAAGACAGTAGGTTTTGCTGAGGCATTTGATCCCATCCCAGAAACTCTGACCTGAGAAGACCAGATTCTGTCCAGAGCAGGGCAGCCCACTTTCCCCCACCGGGGGCTCAGAACTGCTCGCCCTCCAACACTAGGTCACTCTCTGAGTTCCCTCAGCCCGTCTCCCTCACAAACAGGGCGTCTGTCCCAATGCAGTCCTGTCACACAAGGGCTGAGCACTCCTCAGACCCAGCCTCCCACCAGGCCTGACACCCACCCCAGGCCCTGGTGTCACTGGGCCTTCTCAGACTCTTGGACAGAAATGCCATAGAAATAAGTAGCGCTTCCACAAGATTCTTAGCAAGCAAGTCTTTTTACTAAACTAAATCACTTGTACACTATAAAAAAATAGTGGGGGGAAAAAAAATGCCAGCTCCCCAAGTTGAAAGGGCAAGTTGCCTTTATGGTGAAAGAGAAGGTTTGGGGACTTCTCTAGTGGTCCAATGGTTAAGACATTGCCTTTCAGTGCAGAGAGAGTATGGGTTCAACCCCTGGTCAGGGAGCTAAGATTCCACATGTCTCAAGGCCAAAAACTCAAAACATAAAACAGAAGCAATATTGTAACAAATTCAATAAAGACTTAAAAAAATGTCCACATCAAAAAAAAAAAAAAAACACTTAAAAAAATTTTTTTTTACTTTTTTTCCAAAAAAGGGAAGATTTGTCTTGCGATCACTGATAATTTCCAGAAATTGTCAATTTTTTCCATCAGCAGCAGGGGACACAATGGTGGCTATTGGGAATAAGGAGTGCTTCTGTGAGGGGAAAGAATTGTATGACCATTTTCTGCAAAAAGCACGGGAAAGATAAGGTTAAAATTTATAGTTGAGCTTCTTGTCTTGTGGCAACAAGGTATACTCGTGTAGCAGAGATAAAGTTTATCTTTTACTGCTGCAAGCCTGGCTTTTGTCTCTGGGGCTCCAGCCCCCAAAGCCTTTGTTCTTTAGCTCATAAGGCCTGTTTTGCCCGAAGCTGTTCCCCAGTTCTTTCTCAAAATGGCTGTACCTCTGTCTTCCTGTTTCTCCCCATCTCCCTTCCAGACCCCAACACAATTCAGGCCCTCCTCTCCTCAGTCCTCATACTACTCAGGTCCATATATTTATTCAAACAAACATTAAAGGAGCTTCTACATGGGATCACATAAGGAGGGGTTAGGGAGCTGGGGTGCAGTGGACAGCAGCACAGAAGAGGCATTTGGGCTGAGATTTGAAGCACACGTAGGAGTTTGCCTAAAGGTCAAAGGACATGAAGGTATTTGAGCCCAGGTACCTCTGTGCAGGTACAAATGCACAGAAGTGGCCAGGGGGTGGGTGTTCTGAGTGCTCCACAGTCCTGCAGCTGAGCACGAGGTGGAAACAGACAGAAGGGAGTAGAAAGACTGGGAGAGAACAGCCTGTGGGAAACCTGGGGTTGGGGGCAGGGGTGGAAGTGGGGCCACTTGTTAGGATAGCTTGAAGAAATCTAAGCAAGAGATGGTAGTGGCTTTGGCTAAGAGAGGAGCTGCAGAGGTACTTAGCTGCAGCAGGCTTTAAGACAGACTTTGGAGGAGAAATAGACATGACTTGGTGATGAATAAAAGTTAGAGATAAAGGGAGATAAGAAGCCAAAGATGACTCAAGTTTCTTCTTCGTTATAAATAATGAAGACTGGAGCACAGCCAAATGCAGGAAACAAGATCAGAAGTTCCATCTCAGACATAGTTAAGTTAGAGATGTCTGAGCTCAGCAGTAGAAACTGGATATATAAATCTGGAATCAACAAGAAAAACTGTGTGAGGCCAAAGATGTGGCAGAAATCACCTGGCCCTCAAAGGATGCTGAACTGTCTTGCACTGGGTCAGATCGACCAAAAGAAGAATCCCAAATAGGCAGCAGATCTTCCTCATCACTTTGTGGACAGTTCGATTCCCCGTATCTTCATTGTTTTCTCATTGTTTTCTTGATCAGAAATGAATCTCTGCTTTCTAATACGGCCTTGGTTGTTGTTATTGTTGTTGTTCAGTAGCTACGTGGTGTCCGACTCTTTATGACCCCGTGGACTGCAGCACACCAGGCTCCTCTGTCCTTCACTCTCTCCTGGAGCTTGCTCAGACTCATGTCCGTTGAGTCGATGATGCCAGCCAACCATCTCATCCTCTGCTGCCCCCTTCTCCTTTTGCCCTCAATCTTTCCTAGCATCGGGGTCTTTAGACAATGACCTTTAGATTCCTACAAACAAGGTCCCTGCCCCAACCCCACGCCTCGGGGGATCCCTGCTTTGGAGGGCCTTGTCCAAAATTTGCTGTCTCCTCTGGTGCCTGAGGCTGGCTAACCTTTTGGGTCACCCCAAACCTGTATCAGGATCTCTGTGCTACAATCCCTATTTTCTCCCTTCAGAAAAAAGCACAGGATTTTTCTAAAATGAATCCTGGGGTATGAAAGATCTTTATAGGTAGGTCCCAAAAATCATACCTAAAAGAAAAGATTAAAGTTTTCACAATGTAAAACAGAAACTCTATTACAAAAAACCACTGTAAGCAAAAGAAAAAAGACAAAAAAAATCAAACTAGAAAAAATCGAAACTTTTAATGGTGACAAAGGCTTCATTTCTCCAATATAAAAGAATTTCCAAGAAATAAATAATACTAATACTAACAGAATAGTAGTAATAATCCAACAGGAAAACGGGCAAAGGAAAACTGTTCAGATAAAAGAATATACAACTGGCCCTAAATACAAAAAGATGCTCAATTTTACTCATAAAAGTACAAAGTACAAATTAAAACAACTCTGAAATATTTTTTATCCAATCAGATTAGCAAAAGTAAGGCTTTGTTATGGTGAAATTGTTAAAAGATGGACAGTCCCAGATATTTGTTTTTATATTTGAAGATAATCTCTGGAAAGATAACAAAGAAATTGGTAATAATGTTTGCCTCTGGGAAAGAGAACAGAATAGGGAGAAGATTTATTTTTTTTAACTCTGTATCCTTTTGTCCCTTTTGAATTTTTAACTGTGTGAATGTGTTACCTTTTTAAAAATTAATAAAAATTATTTTAATTAATAAAAAATATAGGGACTTACCCAGTGGTTCAATGCTCCCAATGCAGGGGGCCCGGGTTCAATCCCTGGTCAAAGAAATAAATCCCACATGTCATAACTGAAGATCCTTCATGCCCCAAGGAAGATGAAGATCCTGCATGCCACAGCTAACATCCAGCACAGCCAAATAGATAGATAAGTGAATATCTTTAAAAATATAAGTTGCAGTAAATAAATACAGTCACTGTCTGAGTCCAAATCTAGGTTTGCAAACTTGCTTGGAGGGTGCTGACCCTCTGCTTGTGTGTGTTGGTCGCTCAGTTATGTCTGACTCTTTGCGACCCCATGGACTGTAGCCTACCAGGCTCCTCTGTCCATGGGATTCTCGAGGCAAGAATACTGGAGTGGGTTGCCATTTCCTTCTCCAGGAGAACTTCCCACCCCAGGGATCAAACCCGGGTCTCCCACATTGCAGGCAGTTTCTTTACCCTCTGAGCAACCAGGGAAGTAAACACTGTGGAGCCTCCACTTGGTCTATCCAAATCCCGTAAGACCCAGTTCAGGTACTGCTTTCCTCCAAAGTCTTTTTTTTTCTAACCACTCCAAGTGGCAAGAAGGATCTCACAATCAGAGATCAAACCCTCGTCCCCTGCATTGGAAGCAGGCAGTCTTAACCACTGCAGTACCAGGGAAGTTTCCCCCTGAAGCCTTTCTTGATCACTTAGCCCACACTGACCTCCCCCTCCCCTGCACACAGTGACCTTATTTTACAGTCTGGACCAGGTAAGTACAAGTAGTTAAACACAGAAAGCTTAAATTCTTATCTAAGCTCAAGCTCTCAAATTCAAAAATTCAGACAATTCTCTGAGGTTATGTGGGCCAGACACTGTGCAGGTGGGTGAGCGCAGAGGGAATATCCAGATAAGTTTAATCAGACCTGGCACGGAGGAGCTCCACATTGTGCTCTCCAAGAGCCCTGTTCTCTCCTTCCTTGGCCTGCAGCCAAGCTAGATTCCCCCAGCCTCCTTGTCCCTCTTACTGCCAAGGGAATCTGGGCAGTAAAGGTGGATACTATTTCCAGACTTGGTGCATGAAAACCACCTCCAAGCCTGGATCCTCTGTGTGATCCTCTCCCCTGCCCCCACCCCCACCCGCCACCCCTTCCCACCCCATTTGACGTCTGGATTTCAGCATCTACAGCAACTTCAGGAGTCATGAGTTGAATATGACTGAACCTCTATCTACCTGGGTCCACCTCACATCTCTTTTACCACAGACCCACACTGGACAATGACAACCTGCGTTAAGTCACTGATATTTTAGGATTGTTTCTTAAAGCACATAGCCGTTACTTATCCTGACTAATATACGAGGACAGAAGTAGAACATCACTGTGCTTCCTGAATCACAGTGTTCCACAGCACTATTTTTTTTAACTTGTCTCAAATCATTGACTTCCCATCCACATGCTCTTCATTTATGTCTTCATACTACAATGACAGAACTCTGCCTGGCCAAAGAGAGAGAAGGAAAGCCCCATCCTTAAGCTAAGGGATCAGACAGACATCGAGAAGAAACATGTGGATACCAAGGGGGAAGGGCTTCCCTGGTGGCTCAGTGGTAAAGAACCCACCTGCCAATGCAGGAGACACAGGTTCAGTCTCTGAGTCAGGAAGATCCCCTGCAACCCACTCCAGTATTCTTGCCTAGAGAATCCCATGGACAGAGAAGCCTGATGGGCTGCAGTTCATGGGGTCACAAAAGTGTCGGACGTGACTGAGTGACTAAACAACAACCCAGGGGGAAAGGAGGGGATGGGATGAATTCAGAGATTGGGACTGACATATATACTACTACGAATAAAACAGATAACTGATGAGAACCTCCTATATAGCACCAGGAGCTCTACTCAGCATTCTAAGGTGACCTAAATGGGAAGGAAATCCAAAGAAGAGGGGATATATGTATACTTATGGCTGACTCACTTTGCTATTCACTGTGTTAGCAGAACCTAACGCAACATTGTAAAGCAACTCTGTGTGTGTGTGTCCTAAGCAGCTTCAGTCATGTCCGACTCTTTGCCACCTTATGGACCATAGCCCACCAGGCTCCTCTGTCCATAGGATTCTCCTGGTAAGAATACTTGAGTGGTTGCTGTGCCCTCCTCCAGGGGATCTTCCAGATCCAGAGATGGAATTTGTGTCTCTCTCTCTTTAAGTCTCCTGCATTGGCAGGCAGGCTCTTTAATAGTGCCACCTGAGAAGCCCAAAGCAACTATACTTTAATTAAAAACAAACTTTTTTTTAAAGATTGTAGACCCCGGCTCTTGAATATGAATTTGCAATCCCCTCCAGGTTTTGTATATTAAACTTCTGAATGAAGCAAACAAAAATTAGAACTCCACCATTTTGCATCCAAAGAAATGGTGAGAGGGATAAACTGGATTTCAACAGAAAGAATGTCACAGGCCTGACAAGTTCTAGAAGGTTACCTGTGCTGTCCACGCTGCACGGCTGCCTAGGTCTAGGCAAGCAGCCAACTCTGTACTGAGGTGGGGCCCACAGGTTTTTGGCCACAGCAACTCCCAAGTATCTTTGTGTGAATCATGTTAAGGTGTCTGCTTTAACAAAGGAAAGTTAAAGCAGGAAGCCTGCTTTTAGCTGGAGTTCTGCAGCAGGTAAAAAGCAAAAGAAAGTCAATTATTAGCTCCTGGGAACCTCTCAGTGTCACAAGGAGGAATAGATAAAAGATATTTGTTTAAAGAAAGAACTGAAAAGGAAGAAAACAGGGAATAGTTTACTACCTTTTTGGCTTGGATTCAAGAAAGACAAGAAAGATAAGGTAAATACCAAGAGGTAAAGTTCTGAGGCAGGCAGGCAAAATACCCTGTTATAGGATGTGTCCTTACATTAGACAGTGGACTTTCTTATACTTCTAGGTGACAGAGGCTGAAATTAACTGCCTTGCTCAAGAGAAAGTGTCCCCTGCCACTCCTCAAGGCAAAAAGCAACTGTATTGAAGGTTGGTTTTGTCAGAATTTGGTGGTCTAAGGAGAAATAGTATAAAGCCAGGAAGTGGGAAAGTGAAAGTGTCCAACTCATTGACTGTAGTTCACCAGGCTTCTCTGTCCAAGGGATTCTCCAGGCAAGAATACTGGAGTGGGTAGCCATTCCCTTCTCCAGGGGATCTTTCCAACCCAGGGATCGAACCCAGGTCTCCCGGTTACAGGCAGATTCTTTACTGTCTGAGCCACAAGGAACCCCCATAAAGCCAACAGGGTCATCCTAGAGAAGGATAAGACACGAGACCAAGTGTCAAAATAAGGTCTAAAGTTTTAGTTCTATTTGAAGCTGGGAGCAGGACCATGATTTTGACATCAGCCCAGCTTACTTTTCTCGCATCTTTAAGTCTCCACTGATGCTAGGCTGGATTAGCAAGTAGCTTGTAAAACCAAGGTCCTTTGAGCCCTCAGGTAAAATCCGAATACGGGTGAAGAGCACGTGTCACCTTGTGTTTGTAGATCTTTCTGTTCAGCCAG